CTAGTGAGGGAGCCATCTGTGAGCAAGGTACAGGCCTATTTGACTTCAGATTCTGCCTTCAAACCAAATTGTGTCCCTATGGAGCTCCCCACTAAGTTAAAATTCATTCTTAGGCTTCTCCATGGATCATTGTTGAATCTTAAGCTGCACCATCCATAGACATGTTCACCAAGACCATCAATGAGTGTGTCCTAAGTAAGCAAAAGTTCCTTTTAGCATGCACTGACTTTACACTGGAGCATTACATTAAGTCCACATTTTGCTGGAATTATTCATTTAATCCTTAACAGCAATCCTCTGATGCCAATTTCAGGACTGTGCCCTCTTTTCAGGTACCTGCTATGTGGGGAGAGGAAGAAACCTTCCCAAGGTGACATTGGTAATAAGTGAGAAAGCAAAAACAGAGACTGATCAGGCATGGCTCATGCCTGGAATCCCACTACTTTTGAGAGGGAATCACTTAAACCTAGAAGTTTAAAACCAGCCTGGGCAACATCTTGATACCTCATCTCTACAAAAAAAAAAAAAAAGTCAATAAAACATTAGCCACATGTGATGGCGCATGCTTGTAGTCCCAGCTACTCAGGAGACTGAGGTGGAAGGCTCACTTGCTCCCAGGAGGTCCAGGCTGTGGTGAGCCGTGATTGCACCACTGCACTCCTACCTGGGCAACACAGCAAGACCTTGTCTCAAGAAAAAAAAAAAAAAAACACTGACGGTTTGCCCTGTTCAGACTCCGTATTTAACCATACAAATATGTTCCCCTTTACAGCGGACTTGTTTCAGCCTCATAAAGGGAGAGGTGCCTATTTCCTGTCCTGCTTCTGCTGTGGGGCAGGCCCAGGCCAGGAACCTTCTATTGGAGAGTTCATTCCCAATGTAATTATCTGCCTGCCTCCTTCATTCTTGTTTTATCATTGAGGGGTTTCACTTCAGATTGCTAGAAAGACTGTTGCTAAAATGTTATCGCTTTGTGCTAGGGAAATTGTGCAGGCTTTTTCAATGAACTCCATGCAATGCTAATGGAGGCACACTGGCCCGTCCCCTCTGACACCGACTCTGCAGGCCCTCAGGGCTGGCTAATGGGATTTTCTGCAGTATATCGCTCACTTTCAAAAAGTCATGCTGCTGAGCAACTTATGAAGAATGGAAGAGAATGGAAGTTTTTTTTGTTGTTGTTTGTTTTGTTTAGTTTAGTTTATAATACTCTCCAGCCATATATATATATTTTTTTCCAGAATTTCTCTTTGGATTAGCATTTTGACTTATTATTATTTCAATAATCATACTGAATTAGCCTTGTGAAGATTCCCCAAAGTTTTCTTTAAGTCTCTCTTGAAAAATCTCTATGACGTTGGCATCTAGTTTTAGAAGTCAAACTTGGCAAGAGACTTCATAGATTTCTTGCTTTCGTGTCCTGAAGCACTTGCAGGATGAGACCAGGAAGATGAGACAGTGGAGCCGTGGCTGGTAGTGGGACCTGAAAATGGGACTCTCGGGGCCATTTGAAGCTCACTGGGAATTCATGACTACTGTATTTGGTGCCTTTGTTAATCCCCTTTCTGCCTTCATTTCTGCTTAGTCACAGTTGTCAGAGACACTGCAGGACTCGAATGTCTCAGTCAAAGCAAGCGGACCTTTGTCTAGCATCTGCTTTTTGCGGGCTTGATTTAAGAGGCAGCTGTGGCATGCTGAGAAAGGACAACCTCGCTTCAGCCCTGAATCCTGAGCAGGATTTCTGCTGCTGTCAAGCAGAGTGACCTTGCACACATTACTCAGTTCTCTGAGCCACAGTGTTTTCATCTATGCAATGGAAATAAGAGTTTCTGTCATTATTGTTTGATCTGATTAGAAATAATTCCAATGTTAGGTGATAAAAAGCAAGGAACAGAGAAATTTCCAGAGCATTCTCCAACTTATAAGTGTGTTGTGTGTGTTTTCAGGACATACACACATATAGTAAGTGTGTGTGCATGTACAAGAGCATAGATGGGTAGTATTCCAAAAGAATCCACAAGGAAAAAATTATCGGACTATGGGGAATAGAACACTTCATGTTGTGTTTACTTTGATGATATTGATGGGGTTTTGTTTGTTTCAGCATATTTATATTCCATTTTGAAAAGCAAAATGAGAGTATCTGCCTTTTTTGGTGTTTGTTGAAGATCAAAGGAGATAAAGTACAATAGGACTGTTTAGATGCTTCACAAGCAGTGGCGTCCTTCCTGCTCCACACATCTGGCTGGTCTGATGTGCTCCATCCTGCATATAAGCTCTTCTAGACTTTCTACAACTGGACTGGCTTCTCTGTATTATATCTTAATATGTTAGGAAAGTTGAGAAATGTGAATGTATGGGTTACCCTGAATGCCTGGTGAACACAGACAGGGTGGTTGGTTGAGTTTTCTGGTTCTAAAATGGACAAGTCTTCTGATTCCAAACCTTGCTGAAAGTCTTAAGTTCAGAAAGAATTTGACGAGCTTTTAATCCAAGGCCAGGTTTCAGAGCTGAGAAATGCAAGCAATGGAGGGGTAAAGTTCTGCAGAGGGTCGCTCCTGTGTACTCTGTGGTGTGATGCTCGTACCTACCTTCAGACCTGGGCCATTCACTCTTCACACTGTTGGGAATGTTGGTGGCCAACAGCAATTGGCCAAGTATGGAGACTGCCCTGTCTGGAAAGAGCTGCTCTCCCAAGGTCACACCTCTCTGCTGGGGTGATATGGTTCGGCTGTGTCCCAACCCAAATCTCATCTCAAACTGTTATCTCCTTGTGTCAAGGGAGGAACCTGTAATCCCCACATGTTGAGAGAAGAGGTGATTAGATCATTGGGTCAGTTTTCCTCATGCTGTTCTCATGATAGTTAGTTCTCATGAGATCTTACGATTTTATAAGTGTTTATAAGGTTTTTTCACTTCTCTCTCCTGATGCCATGTAGAGATGCACCTGCTTCCACTTCTTCCATGATTGTAAGTTTCCTGAGACCTCCCCAGCCATGGGGAACTGTGAGTCAATTAAATGTCTTTCCTTTATAAATTATCAGTCTCAGGAATTTCTTGATAGCACTGTGGAAAAAACTAATACATAGGGTAACCCACACCAAATGCTCACCAAGGAGTAAGTACAAAGTCCTGGTCTTTGCCCCAAGGTCGGGTGACTCTGCTGGCCCAACAGTCCCCATGGCATCAGGTGAGGCCTCTGTTGTACGTACATGATGATGCAGTGCCATTCTTCCACTGGTCCTGCTTTATAGCTGCACAGATGTTGCTCCTGAGAGCACAACTCAGTGACCCTCTCTGGGTCTCTCATAGTCTCCCACCTGAGACAGTCTCAGGGGTAGATGGTGGCAGACCTGAGACTTCCTTCCAAGCTTCCTAATTTGCAGCACCTTGCCTCACACATGACAATCACTGTGATACAGTGGTCAGAGTAGGTATAATAGTGCCCATCATTATATGCCTAGACAACACCATTGGGGATGCAGATGATGTGCAGATGTGTGTTGACCCCAGCAGACTTGCCCAGCCCCCATTGGATCAACTCAACTCTCTCGGATGGCAGTGAGGAGAGAAGAGACCAAGTAAGGCAGGAGGCTCTCCAGTCATCGGCTGTGCAGACACACTCACAAAAGCCAAGGGTGAAATTCCACCCACTCCTCACCTGGCATTCTTCCAGCAGGCAGGCAATGCAACCTGGGAACATCAGGAGCCACTGCCTCCTCCCATCTGGTCACATGAGCAGTAGATGGGCACCAGCACATTGCTCAAGAATTCCCACCTCTGTGCCCAGGCCTTTTCCCACAGGATTCCTTTCTCTGCTCTAAGAACAAATCTCTTTTGAAATTCACCTCAGGACATCCTTCTCTGCTGGATTGGTAAGAAAGAACTGTCCTGTCCCTTCCTTTTCATCATGCCTAGGTCTCCAAGTCCACTGTAGACTTAGGTGTCTTTTCTTCATGGGACAAACTACTTAGTAATTCTACCAGTTTCATCCATTCTATTTCTACAAATAAAATCAAGTGTACAGTGTTCTGACACTGCATGCTCACATGCAGAGCTTTATACAGGTGTGCTTTCAGCATTGGTTACTTAACCTCACAACTTCTTTCTACATTACGATGACACTTTTTCTTTTCCTCCTTTTCAGAACGAGCTGCAGCTCACCCACCTGCTACAAGGGTCTTTCTATATTTCTCTCTCTCTGAAAAGGAGCCCACAGCTATCTGTCCCGTGGTCTCTTCTTACAGCGCACCCTGCAGTGGTGGTGAAAGGAGGCTTGTATATTAGTCCATTCTCAGGCTGCTGATAAAGACATACTCAAGGCTGGGTAATTTATAAAGGAAAGATGTTTAAATGACTTCTAGTTCCACATGGCTGGGGAGGCTTTACAATCATGCAGAAGGTGAAGGACGAGCAAAGTCATGTCTTACATGACAGCAGGCAAGAGAGCATGTGCAGGGGAACCCTCCTTTATAAAACCATCAGAAATTGTGAGACTTATTCACTATCACAAGAACAACATGGGAAAACCTGCCCCCATGATTCAGTTACCTCCCACTGGGTCCCTTCCATGACATGTGGGGGTTGTTACAATTCAAGGTGAGATTTGGGTGGGTACACAGAGTCAACCCATATCAGCTTGTAAATGGGGCCACTCAGTTGTCTCAGACCAGTGAGGCCAGTGCCCTCATCACCTTCATGATCACTCATTATTATTGTGATTATTGTTGCTATTTTATGATTTCCAATTTGAATGTAAGTCAAAGATGTGGCAGATTTCAGTATTTTCTTACTTGGAGGGATAAAGAAACGATTCCAGCTCAGGACTCCCTTTTCCTGCAGTCTTCAACCATGTGCTGGTTTTACTCAGGGTGGGACCTGCCTCCTTCCCGAACCTCCAGTCACTTTGTGAATGTTGGTGAGGGCGGATGGAAGGTCAGGGCCCTGTGCTGCCTGGGCCAGGTGCAATATTCCTCAGCCTCTGTTTCTGTTTCACCCATTAGGGAAGCTTCTATGTCCCCTCCGAGAACTGCATGCAGCATGCACACAAGTGGCACCGAGACCTGTGCCTGCTGCTCCTCCACGCTTACCGGGGACTCCGTCTCCACTTCCTGGTGATCATGCGGGACATCCCGGAGCTGCCACACATGGAGCTCGGTAAGGGTCCGGGACAGGGGCAAGCCCATCCCAGCAGCTCATGAGCCACCTCCAGACAAGGGAAGGGGGAAAGCTGGCATGCTTTTGTAAATGTCACAGGAATGACACTGGTCCAGGTAGGTTTGGGCTGTGCTTTTCATTTTCATTCTCACAGGAGATGATCTGGGAGATGCAAATGCAGTAAGAGAAGACACATGTTCTTCAAGGCGCATTCATGTACTCAGGCATTCATCTGCCAGACATCTATTGAGCACCTATTACACACCTGCCACCCAAGTGCATAATGTTAGGTTGCTTTCTAGAGGAAAATGCTAGTTTATAGCCTTTCCTGAATCAAGCTGTAATTATGGAATTGTAACTTATAAGACTATAAAACAATCGTCATAAAGAGCTATCTCTCTCTATATACACACATGCACATCTATATTCATACATATATACTTGATCCAGGTAATTATAGAAACTTTTTAGTATACATTACATTTGGTTATCTGGGGATCAGTTGATTTTTGCACATGGATTTTCCAAAGGCACGTCATGAAAATCAGTAGGCCTGAATCTCTGTTGATTGACAGACAATGGACCTGAAGCTCAGCGAGGTAAAAGGCTTGCTCAGCATCACACAGCAATGTGTGGCAGAGCCATGACAGGAGCTCAGGGATCCTGTGCTGATTCCTTGGGGCAGGGTTATTTGTATCATGTCACAGTCAGCAACAACAGGTGGTATGTCCTGGCTCTGCTCAAAGTCCTCTAATAAGGCCTCATCGCCTCTAGAACAGAATCCAAGTCCTCAGCCTGCTTTTTGAGAATAGCACCCATTTCAACATCAGAATCCTGCTAGGTACCTTGACTTCCCTATCTGTACCCCTAGACCTCAACTGCTGAGATAACTGTGGCTTTGGCTGGGTCAATGACCTTGTTCATTGTTCATTGCTGCACTGAAATCATCATGTAACAAAGATTTATTTGCATGTTTTGCTTTCCAACTAGACTGAAGTCTTTGAGAGCAGATTCCCCTCAGATCCCTGCTACACTGTCCCTGGTATGTAGCGTAAAGGAGTAGGTGCAGGATTATAGTTGTTGAATTGAATTCTGGAGCCATCTTGCCATCAGCTTTATCAGCTCTTACATCTTAGCCAAATCCTGTACTCAAGCACTGCTCTTTGAATCATGCAATCATTGAATTTTTTTCAAGTTCAAATATTATGTATGCAGTAAAGACATCCACTGAATCAGAGCAACTTTATATAGCTCAAATGAAAAATGGAGATTTTTCAGTAGCAGTTGGATTCCTGATATAACTTCTTATATTTTATCCAAAGGAGCTGAATTTGTTCATTCACACTTTCATCATATTTTATTGGACACGTACTATATGTCAGATATTGTGCTAGACCCCGAGGATACACAGCCATGACCAGTGTATCAAGAGTTCATTTTGCCTTGTGGGGTTCAGGGACCTGAGGTCAGCAGTGACATGGAAAGCTGTCTACTAATTAGGTTGTCAGCAAGGACCCTAACTTGCTAAGGGGTTGTTTTCACTCACCTAAGCAACCATGCTTTAATTAAAATCTATGTCACAGCCATGTGCAGATGACTGACCACAGCATCATGGAACCAGAGGAAAGTTCAAACCCAGTCACAACTGTGACCATTAAAACAAAAGGCCAGAGGCCACCTGGTTTCTGCTGATAAGCTGGCCACGTTAATCAGTATCAGAGCCAGTGGAGCTGAGCAGGAGGTTCTCCCTGTCACTCTACTTCTTTGGGCTTCGATATTTTATCTGTAAGGTAGAGATCCAAATCCAAATCCACATACCATACATGATGGACAGATATATATATATATATATATATATATATATATATATATATATATATTGTGTGTGTGTGTGTGTGTGTGTGTGTGTGTGTACCTGCAAAAATAGAAATAAATGGAATCTCTCTGGGCCACACAAAGTGCTGTATGAATTGGGAATGTACTGCTTCTCATAACTGTGTGCATGAGATGATACTGGCTTTTATCTAATGCTCAGTCCGTGGTGGCTCCAATCAAGTTTATTCTCCTTATAGGCACGATTCCTTTAGAAAGTTAGAATAGCTATAAGGTTCTCAGCAAGGTGTTTGTCCCTGTGACTTTAATACCAATGTGAAACTTTAGCTGTTTCATTTAATTAGCAACTGCTGCATTTTAGTCTGTGTTCATTTAATCGTGTGGCTTATTCTTTTCTTTCTAGAGGCGCTTGCTGTTGAAGAAACACTTTCTCAGCTGTGCTCAGAGCTACAGGTAATTGGAGGGCTGGCACAGGGGTCTGAATGAATGGCAGTAGTTTTGCAAGGCAAATTCAGTTGCTTGCTTGCTGCAGAAACAGAAGTGAAAAGACACCACTTGTAACCTCCCTCTAGATATCAAGCTGGAGAAATATGCTTATATTCTGTTACCCTACATCACTGTGTCTATAAGTATGTGCCTTGCAGATATTTTGGGAAAACTAAACATGTGAACAGATTTTTGTTTCCCTGAAGCTTAGACTACACATATGTATTTGTCCATTACCCTTCCGTTGAGCAAGCATTTGTTGACTAGTAACTCCGCGCTTCTCACTGTGGGTGACAGAATATTGTACCTGTGCACAGTTGGCCTCAGACATGGCAGAGTCAAGGATGATAATGAAAACAGTAACATTCATTTACGAAAGAAACCTTATCAAGCGTGCATTAAGAGTAAAGGCTTTTTTTAATGATCACCATTCTAACTGGCGTGAGATGGTATCTCAATGTGGTTTTGATTTGCATTTCTCTAATGACCAGTGATGATGAGCATTTTTTCATACTCAGGGAGAGGAGCATCACACACTGGGGGCAGCTGAGGGGGTAGGGGAGAGACAGTGGGGGTGGGGAGGGAGGGGAGGGTGGGGAGGGCCAACATGGGGAGAAATGCCAGATATAGTATGCACCTAAAGTTAAATAAATAAATTTTTAAAAAAGAGTAAAGGCTTAATAAATATTTGACAAATGCATGCTGCTGCTATTTAGAATCTCTGGAACATGTTTACATCCCTTGTGTTGAATATCTGGGTGAGTACTCTTATTTGTATATGAAGAAGAGGCAAATTAAGATGGGAAAGAATTCTATACCAGTGTCACTAACACAGCTAATTTCTACTAGAAGCAGGACTCAAAACAAACTCTCATCCCAAACTGACAACTCTGTTTTTTAAACCAGTGTTTTTCAACACTGACTGTACATTAGAATCATCCTTGGAACTTTAATGATGCATCTTTGCCTGAGCCTGGGCACCCAAATTGGCTGAAACAGAATATCTGGGATTGGAGTTTAGATACTGTATTTTCATTCAGAGCTCCCCAGATGAATATTATGTGCAGCCAGGGCTGAGGACCCCTGCTTTAGAGCATGTTACAAAGTTAGTAAAATCTAGTCTCATAGCGAATGCAGAAGAGATCCCTGGGGAGGGCGGAATGCGAAGCAGAGACAGAGGAGGGTGTTGGGAACCTAGAGCTGGCGGGCCTTCAGGGAGGGGCCACTGGATGGCAGCCTTGGGAGAAGGGGTGGGACTTGGCTTGTAGCAGTAACAGGGAAACACTTGGCGAGCACTGCTGATCATAAATGCAGGGCCAGCAGACTGCAGGAGAGCAACATAGGAGTTCATTTAGAGCGTGTGTAAGGGCCACTGAGACGAGTCAAAAACCTAATGTCCACACTTGGGGACTCAGACACTCTGACTTGGATGCAGTGTGGACCATGCATGTATGAGCAGGAAGCTGGATAGACAGGAGGCCCTGGGCTCCAGATGGCGACAGCTCTCATCCTTCCCCGAGTGAGCCTCAAGGCAGCCACTGCCTTAGGCAGGGGCCAGAAGCTTGAAAGTCATGCCACCCTGGGTTTAAATCCAGACTCTGAGCTTCTCCTCCGAGCAGCTGTGGGACCTGAGACAATGGGCTCAGCCTTTGAGGCCTAGGATTCATCATCTACATAGTAGGTTTGTTCCGAGGGGACCACTAGAGAGCTTGTGCAAGGACCCTCCTAAGTGTTCTGCTCATGGGCTCTGTTCTTCTTTGGTAAGATGGCCTCTCCTTCCAGGGCTGGCCCAGCTGCCTCAGGCTCCATCCCCTGAGGGCATGGCCAGAACCACGTACCTGTGCAGGTGCAGTTCAGCATCCCAAGGGGAAACTGCTTTACTCTGTAAATTATCAGATATTTAATTTTAGCAGCTGAAACAACAACAAGGAACAGGCAGCTTTCCAATTCAGCTTTTCCGTTTGCCATCATGAGATCAGGCTGAAGAGCTGATGAGTGACTACTTTTCAATACGCCCACTCTCTTTCCTGCTGGGTGTGGCCTGCAGGTTCTCCGCTTGGTCTCTGTGCCCGTTATGTTCAGATTTCCAGGCACTTCTCTTCCATAGTCTGGATCACCATGGCACCACCATCACCAACTTATATTTAATCAGTAGAGATTCTCAGCCTGGCCCAGGCTGAGATAACCTTAGAACTGGTTCTAAGTGCTTACCAGTAAAATCCCCTTTAATCTTTCTATAACTCCTGAGATTTCACCATTCCAAAGCACTTGTCCAAGGCCACCTGGTAAGTGGTGGAGGGAATCAGTGCTCACACCCAGCAGGCCCTCTGCCTCCAGAGCCCCAATGATGCCACTGGACAGGGTCTGCTGCTGCACTGCTGCACTGAGGACAGGCAGGGACCACTGCCTGTTTTCTCCTTATACATTACATGACTGTGGACAGTGGCTAGTGGTTGGTAGTGATGGGGAATCCTATATTGCAAAGATGATGCATATCAAGCCAGGGAGACATGGCTTTGAATTCTCTACCTACTCACTGTGTGACTTTAGGCAAGTTGCTTAATCTTTATGAACTTGATGTTCTTATCTGTAAAATAGGGATAAAAATCAATCAATTTTCATTGATGCAACCACCCAGTGGGTTCACTTTGCCCACTGCCTAGACAGAGCTCATTTATCAAGACAGGGGAATTGTAATAGAGAACGAGTAATTCACGCAGAGCCAGCTGTACAGAAGACCTAAGTTTTATTATTACTCAAATCAGTCTCCCCAGGCATTCAGAGGTCTGAGTTTCTAAGAATAATTTGCTGGGTAGGGGCCAGTGAGTCAGGAGTGCTGATTGATTGGGTTGGGGATGAGTCGAACTGTCCTCTTGTGCTGAGTCAGTTCCTGAGTTGGGGCCACAAGACCAGATGAGCCAGGTTATCAATCTGGATAATGCCAACTGATCCATCAAGTATAGGGTCTACAAAATACCTCAAGCGCTGATCTTAGGTTTTACAATAGTGATATTATTCCAAGGAGCAATTTCAGGAGGGTCAGAATCTTGTAGCCTCCAGCTGCATGTCTCCTAAACCATAATTTCTAGTATTTTGGCTAATTTGTTAGTCTTACAAAGGCAGTGTAGTTCACCAGGCAAGAAGGAGGTTTGTTTTGGGAAAGGGCTACTGTCTTTGTTTCAAACTATAAATTAAGTTCCTCCCCAAGTGATTTTGGCCTACACCCAGGAATGAACAAGGACAGTTTGGAGGTTAGAATCAAGAAGGAAGTGGTTAGTTCAGGTCTCTTTCACTGTCTCAGTTCTAATTTTGCAATGGCGGTTTCATTGACATCTTTTTCTCTTAGCCAGTAAGCCGGCACACTGGCTACATCGTGTGAATTTTCTTATGCAATTGATGAAACAATTCCATAAGATAAGCCATCATATTCTGTTCAGTGGATGAAGGAACAGGGCTTGACTTACACGGGATGGGCCACTGACCAGAGGCACAGCACTGGCAGAACAGGGTCAGGCTGCTGGTCCCTGTGACACTGAGCCCTCCCCAGCGTGATGCAAGCCAAGGAAGCAGTGTGGGTGCAGGGAATAGAGACTGGGTCCATGAGGCCTGGCCCAGGGCAGTAAACACAGAAAATGCAAACCGTCATGTTTGGTGCAAGCATTTCTCAAATGGTGGGGGCTTTGGCTTGTCATTTGTGTGTGTGTCATAAAGTAGATTTTGGTGATACTCATACCTTTGGCAGGGAATAAGGTTAAATGTCCAGGTTCCTTTTGTCTTCATGGCAAAAAGGATCAGTGTTTTCCTGGGAATGATGGCCATTAGTCATTTGGCCTGTGAGAGTTTTTATTAATTTCACAAACATTTCCCAAGCCGACAGTGCTCCCCAGATCCAGTGCTCTTCAGGTCTCAGCAGTGGGGACTCAGTGGTGACTTCTCACTCATGCAGCCATAGCCTAGGGAATCGATTTGTTCACTCCGGAACTTTTGCTTAGAAGGGCTCCTGGCACCTAGGAGCTCTTAGTAAATGCTAGAATGAGTGGATGAACAAATGAATTGCAAGAACAGTACCAAAGATGAGTAATTGACTAACACTGGAGCCCTTAATGTCAGCGCCCTGAGGCTCTTGGCCCATCTGCGAAAGGAGCTTGGACTCAGTGTGTTCATTTACCGATCCAGTGGACCAGTGTGTGCTGTTGTCCTGTGTCATGCATCACCTGAAAATTAGTGGGTACAGCCGTCTGCCCAGACCGCAGGGCACAGTCCTGAATCAGCCAGCTGACTGTCCATCATTGGGCAGGCCATAGGAGAATGAAGTGGGGTCACAGGTACACGGTACTTAGAACAGAGCCTGGGGCAAAATGCCGCCACCAGTGTCGTTGCTGTCCTTATCATTGTTCATTCTATTCCATAGGCCTGGTATTGACGAAAAGAGTCAAACTCCATAAAATATTTGAGGAGATTTCTTCTGAGCCAAATATGAATGACCGTGGCTCATGACACAGCCCCAGAAGATCCTGAGAACATATGCCTAAGGTGTTCAGGCTACAGTTTGGTTCTATGCATTTTTGGGAGACATAAGACATCAGTCATACATGTAAGATCTGTATTGGTTTGTTCCAGAAAGGCGAGGCAACTCAAAGCTGGGGGTTGAGGGCATGGAGCGAGGCTTCCAGATCATGAGTAGAGTCAATGATTTTCTGATTGGCAAATGGTTGAAAGAAGTTGTCTAAAGACCTGGAATCAATACAGGGGAGTCTGGGTTAAGATGAGGAGTTGTGGAAACCAAGTTCTTATTATGCAGATGAAGGCCTTTAGGTAGCAGGCTTCAAAAATAATAGATGGTAAGCTTTTCTTATCGGACTTAAACAGGCTCCAGAGTCTTAGTGAATTCTCTCCCACATCAGGAAAAAGGAAACAAAGAATAAGAACAGAAAGGGAAGGAGATTCTCTACAGAATGTAAATTTTC